TAAATTATTTACATTAAGCGTTTTAAAAAGAATTGAACAAGTTCAATTTTTTTTCTGCCTGGGGAATAATGTAATAATTGGCATTATTATTGGAAAATATAAAGAATTTACTAAAAATTCTAAAAAGTATTTATAATGTTTTAAATTAAAAATTCAAAAGAAAACACAGGTATGAAAATAAAACAAATAATCATGGACTAGAAAATTCAAGATAATCGTGACATTTTTAAAAATACAACTACCACGTAAATTTTGATATATATATATATTTTACCTTCTGTACCCACGCTAAAAATAGTTCAAATAGTAACATAAAAAAGTTTCATTTTCGTTTCTAGTACCGAACGGTGTTAGATGTGAATTTTATTAATTATTTTAAAAATTTGACCATGTGCCCTAACGTAAAATTAAAAATATAAACTTTTTGGCTAACAGGATTGTTATCAACCATTTTTTGTCTCGTTTTGTGATGTACCGTAATTTTTTATTAATATAACACCACATGTACGCAACGATTCTCACTGAGTTGTAAGTATATGGTCTTTTCAAAATTGTTTAACTTATAACCTCTGTAAAAATTAATATTGTAGCTCCCTGAAGATGAACATAATCATGTTCGAAAGCTTGGAATAAATACTTAAAAGAGTACACAATTGTAAGATTTTTGCTGAAAATCCCAAGATTCCTTAGTTTATATATATATATATATATATATATATATATATATATATATATATATATATATATATATATATATATATATGTATATATATATATATATATATATACAAAAATTTTTTAGCACTAGGTCCAAAATTTTGCTTAGCTCAATCCAAAAAAGAAATCAATATATCCTCTTTATTAGCAGACATTGAAAATATTATTTACAGTTGCCCAGAAAATGAAAAAGATTTATATAGATCTCAATTTACAAATATTATCACAAATTTTTCACATAAAGATTCGAATGCAAACCATTTTCTAAATAAGTACTATAACAAATGCAAACTTTTTTTAAAACAACATCCTGAAATATATATTTTATTGAGTGATAAAGGTAATGTCACTGTTGCAATGTACAAAGAGGACTATGTTTCTAAATCAGAGGATTTATTAAACGACACAAATTACTATCAACAGCTCTCTCGCAATCCTAATTGTACCTTGCAGCAAAAGGCCAATAAACTAATCACTAATCTACAAAATACCAACGCCATTTCTAAAGAAGTTGCAACAAAACTAAGATTTTATAATTCTATAATTCCGCGTTTTTATGCTCTGCCTAAGATACACAAGCCAACTTTATCAATGAGACCCATTATTTCTTCTATTGATTCGCCAAATGGCAATTTATCTAAATTTCTAACAGATATTTTAACATCTTCATATAACACTAACAACGAATTCTATATCAAAGATTCTTTTTTATTTAGTGAGTTTATCAACAATTTCCAATTACCTGAAAATTACATAGTGGTTAGTTTTGATGTAGTTTCCCTTTTCACTAACTTACCGTTACCAGTTATCAAGGATAGTGTTACAAACCATTGGCATGACATACAACCTCATTGCAACTTTAATCTAGAAATTTTCTTAAACATTTTAGAGTTTATTTTTGACTCAAACATTTTCACTTTCAATGGTAAGTTTTTTAAACAAATTTTTGGTACGCCTATGGGCTCATCAATTTCACCCATTTTATGTAATTTTGTGTTGGATGATTTGGTTCGAAGTTGCCTTAGCAGAATATCTTTTCAAATTCCATTTGTCAAGAGATACGTAGATGACCTAGTATTGTCTCTTCCTGTCAACAAAGTACAAGACACTCTTATGATTTTCAACAGCTACAATGAAAATCTTCAATTCACAGTTGAATATGAAGTTGACAGAAGTTTACCCTTCCTAGACATGAAAATTTTCAGGGGTTTAGACAATATTCTGCGTACAAGGTGGTACAGAAAGCCTATGTGTAGCAATAGGTTTATCAGTTATTGGTCTAACCATCCTCCAAAAATGAAAACGAACCTAATTTGTGCTTTGAAAGAGAGAATACGTAGGTTGTCACATCCAAATTTTATCAACGAGGATTTAGTACTGTTGAGAGATATTTTGCGGGAGAATTCGTACCCAATCAACCTATTAAATAAATATATTTTCAACACCCCTATGTTAAATAACCACCAAGACCAAGGAAATGTTATTCCAACTCATAACACGATCCCTGAAACCACTATCAGGTATGCATCACTACCATACATACCCAATTTAACACCTAAGCTTGTTAATGTATTAAAAAGGGTTAATAACATCAAAATTGCCACTCATAACGTAAAAACTATCAAAAATCTCTATACTAAAACAAAAACACCTTTAGAGAAATTAGAAAATTCGAATATAGTATATAGCATTCCTTGTTCAGACTGTGAAAACGTTTATATAGGTCACTCGTCCAGATGCTTATCTGGGCGCATATCTTCCCATAGGAGTGATTGCAACAAAAAAAAGTTGTCCTGTGCCTTAGCAGACCACGTAATCAACACAAAACATACTATGAATTTCAGTGAAACTAAAATCCTCGCTAAAGAACCTAACTATACCAAGAGGATCTTTTTAGAAATGGTCCATATTCACAATACTAAAAATACACTCAATAAAAAATCTGATGTAGCCAATTTAAGCAAAATTTACAATTATTTACTCTCTTTGCAAAATTAAACATTATTAAAAAAAACTAAAATTTTTCTTTTCTCATTAACAATTTCTTTTTTAACTTTTTTTTTTCTTCTTTTCTCTTTCCAATCATTAAATCAACAATATCAAATTAATTTTCCATTTCTTTGCATTTTAATTATTCATTTTCTGTTGGAAATTTTTGTAGAAATATTTTAATAACATTACACAAATAAATTCAAATAATTCTTTTTATTAACGTAGATTCGAAAATATTATAATTGTATCCAGCTCGTTATTTCCTTCAAACAACTTGAAAGTCATTGGGTTTTTGCACATGTTGATAAATTTCGTATTCGAACACCGGTTTTGCTCAGTTTTAACGTAAAAATCAACAATGATGGATTTAAAATCCAACTAATAAAATTTTCTCAGTCTTCAATGTTTAACCATAGTGAATCTTTTTTTTTGTTTTATATAATGTATAATGTTAACAAGAAAAGTTTTTAATTGTGTATTTGATGTCAACTTTTTCTTTTAATCTCAGTTTGGTGAGTAAATTAGTTTATTCTGTTTTTGTAACTAATTTTTAACAACGATTTTTGTATTCATTGTAGATGTTCTGATGAAGGAAATAAACATTTTCCGAAAGCTTAACAAACAAAAAAGAGTGCATTTTATTTACTAAAAAGCCCTCCATATCTTTGACTGCATCCCCAAGATATTTCTATTTTTTATATATATATATATATATATATATATATATATATATATATATATATATATATAGACAGAAAGAAAAGACTCTTGAGTGCGGACTAAGGTCCAGAACTTTCGCCGAGAGCGAGAGATCTCGTTTTTGGGACTCTAAAGTAATGTGTAGAGTAAAGTTTTTGTGCAGCGATTTTTGTGAATTATGGGTAAATATCTTTAATTTATTTTAAAAGTGTTTTGTTTGATAATAATTAATTTTACATTTTCGTCCCGATTATCATATTTATCTTATACATATTTTTATAATATTATGTAGTCAAAGTTTTCCAATGCTACTTATAATTGTTAATAAGTCCAAACTAAATAGTTCAATTAAGTGTTCATTAGTATCATAAATATTTATCTAAAGTTTGGTTATATTATCAAATAGTGCTTTATTCCCTAATTATAATTTGAGTAATTTATTCTTTAGAATACTAATCACTTTTGTACTTATTTTAAATATGCATTTGTTAATTTTTTAATACTTATTATTAATCTCTCCTCCCCCTTTTAAAACCAGACAAATATTCCGAACATTTGAGAAGCCTCGGCGTTTCTATTCCCTTAGGACTAAAAGATTTTAAAACTAGTTGCCTAGAACCGCTCGACTATGCTATTAAGGGACAATTTTTGTTCTTTTAATTTAACTTTTTTTATTATTTTTATTTGCCACTGGTGAATGGATGTTCCTTTTGGACTCCAGGACCCTTTGGCTGGTGACAGTGCTACCCTAATCCCTTAATAGTATATTAACAACAGTAGCTAAAGACCTATCGGTAGTTACAAATGGTCTTTAGACTGGTTGGTTGTTACATTTGGTGACGAGCGGTGGTCCTTTAGACAGTTGGTTGTTACACTACTACGTAAATAAGGCCTTTAATATCACACACTCTTCGGTTAGGAAATTCTGTATCAATGCATGTCATTTAGGAGTTAACTGGAATATAATTTGATCCTCATTTCGTACTCAATCTGGTGATATATAAAGGTGAGAGCAATGACAATTGTACAAGAAATAATAACTCATGTATATGGTCCTTCCTCATGCAAGCTTCAAAAACGTGCTCTTTACTATCAACTCTAAGATCATTTTTATCTACAGAACTGGTCATAGAAAGTGCACGTAACTTTTACAATATATGTCTACTAATATTAAAAAAATACGCAATTTGAAAATCATTTTTTTCGGTTTTCCTTTACTTATCTTTTGAGAATCATAATATATTTTTAAAAATAGAAAATATATAATTAAAAACAACCTAAATGGTCTACTTTTTGACCCACTCTATATAATATTCAATAGCATCTAATATTCTATAATTAAATTGAGACTATTTTAGTGCGATATTAATTTGGCCATACTAAAGTAAAAATTAAATATTATTTTGAATAATTTGTGACTCATCCTCTAACTAATAATAGCTTACGGTTGATTCCTTATGACTCTTAGTTAACAATGATTATTTTCCATAAATTTAAAATAAACGATTTTCTATTTTAGCTAGATACTAAATAACATACCTCGCCGCTACTGGTGGATCCGTATCCGAAGGTAGGCGACCACTTGGCCTCCATCATTGAAAGTTTCTAACTCCAAAATGTCTATTTCGTCTAGCGTAGTTCCGGCCGCAAAGAATCTTCTTGAAAGCGTGCCTGAATTCCGGACTAAATATCGTATAAATTATAGGGTTAAGAGTAGAGTTGAAATAACCTAACCATAGACATATAGACACCAAATATTTATCAAAGAGATTTGGGTTGATGGGCAGCAGGACCGCCATTATAAAAAACGGCAACCAGCAGAGCACGAAGGCTCCGGTTATGATCGCCAGCGTTTTGGCAGCTTTTCGTTCACGTTTGGAGTCCATGCCGTCCCTGTTTTTTCGTTTGATGGGGTAGTGATGGGGTTGGTAACTGACGCTGCACTCTGTGGTGGTGGGGAGGTCGGCTTCGAGGCCGTTGGCGAAGGAGGTCTTTTCGGGACTGCTCTGGTTCGAGGATATGTTGGTAAATGCCGTTGTTGTTTCTGATATCGTAGGTAGAGGTCGGCCTATTACAGTTACAACGGCTGCTGCGATTCCGCCTGCAAAAAAATTAAAAGATATTTCAGGTTTATCGAACAATATGGTTACAATATTTTGGATCGAGAACAAGTGGATGTAACCTGCTTTCAAAATTGTCAAAGTCAAAGTCATATTTAGTAAGTCGTAAATTGTACGTTGAATACGGTGGTTCCACAAGGATCCAATCTTGGACTATTGTTATTTTTACTTTTTGTAAATGATATTTGTGAGGTAGTACAGTGTGAAAAACTTTTATTTGCAGATGACATGAAAATATATATAGAAATAAATGGTCCAATGGACTGCAAAATAATATAAATTCTCTCTTTAAGTGGTGTCAGATTGATAAGCTTTGTCTTAATTCAGAAAAGTGCAAAGTGATGACTTTTACATGAAAACAAAAACCAATTATGAATGATTACGTTCTTAATGGAAGTGTATTGAAACGAGTCAGCGAATCAAAGGATCTAGGCGTAATATTTGATTTGAAGCTAACCTTCACAATATATATTGAAACACTATTAAAGACGGCTTTAAAAAACTTAGGATCTATGATTAGGAACTGTAAAGACATAAGGTCCTTCAATGCAACGAAAAGTATAGAGGGTGAGTCGGGAGGAGCGCACCAAACTCTAGGAGTATATTATACACGTGAAAATAATGTAAAAAACTCATATGTTCTTATCAGATTTTCATTTGTTTTCAAGTTATAGCATATTAACAAATTTACACATAAAAATTCTCTTAATCATAGCGTTCTTTCAGTAAATGTTCAAAAATACCGCCATTGACTTCTAAACATTTTCTGCTTCGTCTACGAAGAGCGTTTGTTGCTCTCCTAATTGATTCATTTCTTTTTTCTTTAATATGGGCTGCAGTATTCTCAATTCGTCTAATTAGTGCATCCCGTGTGTCCACTTTTATTTTGTAGACTTCATCATTTTTCATCCAGCCCCATAAACAAAAATCTAATGGTGTGAGGTCTGGAGATCTTGCAGGCCAATTAATAGGACCTCCACGACAAATCCAACGCCCTGGAAAACGTTCGTCCAAATGTTGCTTGACTTGACGAGCGACATGTGCAGGAGCTCTATCGTGCTGATAGTACATCTGCATTCTAATATTTACAGGAACATCCTCTAGCAGGCCTTGTAAATCATTTTGTAAGAAATTGAGGGAGTTGTCTCCTGTGAGACGATTCTCCAAAATGAAAGGGCCAATTAAATAACTGTCAACCATACCACACCACACGTTTACAGAAAACCGATGTTGAAAATTGCTTTCGACTGTTGCGTGGGGATTTTCGTCTGACCATACATGATAGTTACGAGTATTATTAATGCCATCACGGGTAAATGTAGCTTCATCCGTAAAGAGTATTCTCACTAGTAATACCACTAGAGGTCAAAAAATTTCCTGATATTAATTTGACCTCGCGTGGTATTCGGTAAGAAAATTCCACTCCGAATTATGGTTGAAAATTAAATATTTTTAAAATTTATTTTTCGTTTCTCAACAATGCAAATTATTTTCTACAAGTCACCAGTGAAACATAAAAGGTGTTGTCGCCTTGATTGTTGAGTTGTCATGGTAACTAAGTGAGACCCTAACCTCGAATATAATTTCAGTTTTGAAGTTGTCAAGCGGCCCGACGTAAAAAAATGTTTCGCTGCAATTATTTAGGCCTTCAAATTGCTTATTTCTACTCATTGTAGTTGCGTGGGAATACCATTTGAAAATAGAAAATAGTATATTCTTTAATTTTACGTAAGTTTTGAATAACTACAAGTGGTAGAAAATTGTTTTTCTGCGTTTTTATTAACATGCGTTATGAGGGCTTTAAAATGGTATGAAATTCATAACCAGCGTCAGCAAGCATCAATCGTAGGAGGCTGTGATCATTGTATTTTGACAGTTCAAAACATTAAATAACTCAGCGTTTTGTTGCGATAAAGAATATTGCACAGCAAGTAAAACCAACAAAATTACCTATTTGTTTAAAAATGAATCGATTTGAAAATCATACGCTATGCAAAATATGCGTGAAATTGTCTGATGTAATTATCAATCATTGCACCATGACTTACTTACTCGAATTAATAGAGGATTGTCGCTCCAACTTGAAAACCGAAAATTTGTTCCGAATTGTCCACGAATATTTGCACCTAAACTACGCAAAATTCAAAGTGCTGAATGGGAAAAAGGTGAATAAATTAGTGTCTAAATATTATATATATTTTATTAGACATAGACACATAATTCAAAGCATCCAAAGTCCTGCATTTTCGCCATTAAGAAGAAAAGAAGTGGCCGAAGAATATAGAAAACACCTTAGCATTGTAACTAAAATGTATCAAAACTAAACCTATTATGTAAACAAATAAAAACCAGTCTGTCAAAAATGGTCTGTTATTGTAAACGTCAAAAAAATTTCCAGTATAATTCGCTGTTGGGTACCCCACGAGAAAAAAATTTCCACTAAAATACCTCCGTTGCCATGGTGATCTGTCAAAAACACGTATCAAATCAAATTCATGAGCTCGAAAAAATTTCCGGAAATAATTTGACCTCTAGTGGTATTTCTAGTGAAAATTCTTTTTACATTGACAACTTCAAGGTTAACTCTCTTTTTTTAAATGGAAATATAGATTTTTTATTTCAGAATCTTGTTGTATGTAAAAAAGCAAATAAGTTTTGTTTAAAGAAATTTTTTATAGATAAAAAATAAAATAACATTTTTTTTTTCAAAATTTTATAATAATGAAATGGTTTAGTAAAAATGTTTTTCTTCTTACAAAAAATTAAATGACAATTATATCAAACAACAAAAATAATGTAACAAATACTCAAAAAGATGACCATCAACTTCAACACATTTTTTTTGTTTTTGTTTGATATGATAATTGTGTCATTTAAGAAGAAAAACATTTTTAGTAAACCATTTCATTATTATAAAATTTTGAAAAAAAAAAATGTTATTTTATTTTTTATCTACTGAAGATGCAATTCTATGAAAAATTTCTTTAAACAAAACTTATTTGCTTTTTTACATACAAAAAGATTCTGATATAAAAAAATCTATATTTCTATCTAGAAAACGAGAGTTAACCTTGAAAAACCTTCATCTCCCCCGTAACGCCTAACAACTTTTATTTAAACTTTTTTTTTGAAAAACTTACCGTTTTTGAGATATTGCGCTGTCTCAAGTTAAATGGACCACCCTGTATAAAATAATTAATAATAACATTGACTCCTCAAATCTACTTTCTCAAATATTTCTTATCACTTCGCGAGTAGCCAGTACGCTTCATATTTCCGTACCAAATACGTATCATCACTTTAATTCATCCTTATCTGTATCTGTAACGTGTGGAGGGTGGGTTACTCCTACGGCACTTAGGCCTCATTAGGCCCATTGTGCATCCTCCTAAGATGATAGGCACCTCCTAGCTCGTCAGACAGTCTACAGATTTATTGTAGTTGACAACGTCGCCAAGAGGTGCTTCTCTTATATCGGCCGGTGTTAGCCGATACTCGCCGAACACAAATCTTCTAATAAATGAGAGCATCAAGCAATCGTAAAGGATATGCTCGATGGTCTCATCTTCTTGTTCGCACCCTCTGCAGGGTGCGGATTCTGACAGCACCATTATATGGAGATGCTTCCGTACTTGGCAATGATCAGTCAGAATGCCTGTGACCAGACGCAGATTCTGTCTAATCATAGTCAAGTATTTGTTTGCTGCAGTTGTCAGGATAACTTAAGAGCTTCCTGGCTACTCTGCAGTTTCTTGTTTCATCCCATCTTTCCTTGAATTTCACAAGGGAATGTTCTTTAATTAGGTCTGTCACTACCGATTTTGTCAGGCCAATAGAAGGGCAAGGTTCAAAAAGTATTTGGTTGGCTGCTTTCTTGGCTAGTGAATCGGCAAGACGGTTACCTTTCGATGTGGCGTGACCTTTGATCCATCTTATGGTGACCACATTGTTGATGGATACTTCGGCCAAAGCTTCATGACATTCTAGTACTAACCCTGAATAAATTCGTGGTCTGTTCAGGGTGAGTAGTGCTTGTCTGCTATCTGTATACATGAGAATGTTCCTTCCAGTGATATTATTTCTGGTTATTTCTTTTGCTGCTATGAGAATCCCCGTTAGCTCTGTTTGAACTACGCTGGCACTATTGCTCACAGCCCATTTTATGTTAAGGTTTAAGAATCTGGAGTATCTTCCGCATCCTGAGCCTTGTTTTGTTTTAGAACCGTCGGTGTAGATATGAATCGTACCTGCCACTTCTGGCTCTTCTATTTGTTCCATTAAAACTTTATATGGCTTCTGGATGATATATCTCGGTAAGATGGAGTCCATGTTCGCTCGATAATTCATTCTTATATTTAATGTCTAAAAGTGACAACGCCATTTTTAATGTGGATATTTTCTTTTTGAGTTTTCCACAATTTAAAAAAGAAATATCCAGGTTAATTTCTGATTAATTTCTAAACTTACATATATTTTTTTGTTCTGTTAGTTTATCAGTAGCTGTTATAAATCACAAATATTCGTAAAATGTAAAGAATATTCTTCTTTTTAATATTGTAAAGCTAAGATTTTAGGTAGGTATTTGTATTTAGTAACAAAATTATTAGAATGAATTTTTACTGAAATACTGTCCACTTATTTATATTTTATACACCTGTAAATGAGAAATAAGCCTATTGGATGTATTATTATTAAATAAATAAATAAATAAATATTCTTCTTTTCCATCACACGTTGCAATGGAGGAAGATGTAGCAGTAGCTCCAGTGCTGTAGTAAGCTTGGAAGAACATAATTTAAAGTAATATTTGATTTCTTACTTTTGCAATACAAACGGCGAATTCCATTTAAAATTATTTTTCTCGGATGTAATGTTTCAGATGCATTCTATTTTCTTCTCCTGGATATTCATTATATGGAAGGATCAAGGACATTATTCGGCGACACGTTATTTAGATTATTACGACTCATTGTTATATACA